CGAGCATTTACGGATGCGATTTTGGGGGGGCAAATCTAGCATACCAGGCAGAATGGTTTCACTGGCGACTGTCGGCCAATCTGCGGGGCTTTGTTGCTTTGCTCAAGCGCCTCGTCAAGGAGTCCAGGCTGTCGGCTGTCAAAACGTTCCGTTGGCCCAATCAGTGCGTTCCGCGCACGGCGGACGATAGAGGCTCGAGCTGCAGCTCGGTGCCTTTGGCAGACGTCATGCAGGTCATCCACTTGGACAGCGTGCCTCAGGAAACCAAAAGAGAATCCGTACTTCCCTCAAGCTCATTAAGCCCTAGTTCTGGGGGGTGGGGGGGGAGTTGTAGGTTCCCCAAATGATCCCAATTGAGAAGGAAAGAAAGAAACCAATGCGACTGGTGGCTTGTGGAGTCCCTAACGGAATCCAACAAAAGAAGCCGAACGAGAAACCCAAAGAGAAGCCAAAACAGAGACAAAGTAGGGTTTGTTGTTTCTAGATTTGTTAGGCATGTTTGTAAGGCCAACTGCACCCAGCCCTCAGGATCTTCAGGAAGCCCTGCAGATAAACCAACTAAAGACCCGTTTTCAGCCCCCTCAAAAAGCTCTAAACCCATCAGATCAACCAAAAAAGACCTCACCCTCGGTGTTTCTTTTGGTTTCCTCGGTGTTGAGGCGGCCAACCCGAAGAAACCCGAGGATTCTCGGGCGTTCGTTGGTTCGGTCCCGTCTTCGAGGTTCGAGGCCTTCTTTGCGGTGGTGCGCCGTGGTCTGAATTGGACCGCTGGGCGGTGGCTCGTGTGTTTTTAGAGAGCCACAAGGAAGACCTAGGGTGTCGTCTCTTTTAGAGGACTCCCCCACCAAAAAAGCAATCCAACAACAACCTAACCGCCCCAAGAAGAAAAAACTACAAAGGGTCAGTTTCCTTTCAGATTTCAGGAAAAAGAAGAAGAAGAACAAAAACACACAAACAAGAGAGTGCCCTCCAAAAACGACAGACCCAGCTGGTTCAGATTTTTGGCGCTTCACTTCAGAAGGCTTGGGCGTTGAAGTCCGCCAAGCTGTAAGGCTGGGGATGTAGGACCACGAGTCCACCAGTTGCCCTCGGGAGCCACCCACGCGGGGGGGGGAAACGGGCGGGAATTTGGAAAGGGGATTGAACAGAACCAACAGACAACCTCTCACACCTGGGCTTTTCGCCAAGAAGGTCACCCCCCCGTCACAAGACAAAAAGAGACACACCCATATATATATATATATATATGTACATATACATATATATATATATGCGTATATATGGCTATGGCTACATAGGTGCGGGAGATCCGCGCAGGTGTTTGTTTTTGTATTTATTTCTGCTATTTGTTTGGATCTTGATCAACCCCCACAAACTCGCCCTAGGATTTTGCCGTACCCCCAAAGCACAAATTTCTAGACGCTGCCCTTGGGCCATTTTTGGGCCCTGCCCTTTGGGTAATCCTTTTGGCTTGAGGTCGGAAAACAAAGGGACGGGTTTCTTTTGGAGCGGGGTCAAAAGGTAAACCGCGGCATGGTTTGCTTCCAACTGCGGCAACCCTTTGGATTCTTGTCCAAGGGTTGTATCCCAGGATAAGGCCATAGACAGGCAATAGCCCTAAAGGCCTTCGCCCCCTGATCCGCCAGAAGCTCCGGCAAAACAAGCTTGAATATTTGTGTCCCTCGTGCTCGCCTAAATAGACGCCAAAAGGGGGCTATTAAAAGCCAGAGCGGTGCAACCCCTCAACCCCAACCTGTCAACCCCCAACCCCCAGTCACTGGTGACAAATGGTCAGTCGCTAGAGTCACTAATAGTGAATTACAGTTGGGTGCAAGTAGATGGCATACCTCCCGCATGTTGGTCTTTCCCATTTTTTTTCCAGATGTTGGTGTTTACGCAGACAGGCAAGTGTGCCTACTTTCACCCTGGTGCAAAGCCATGGCAAGGGGAGACATGAGAAGATTCTGGCTTGGCCCTAATAGACTGCAAAGGTTCCCCGCTCTGATCAGCATATCATTAAACAAGTGTTAGCTGACTTTGGCATGGCTCCAAATGGGTGTAACCTCAAAAATAAAGTGGGTATGGTTCCATTTACGGTTGCGTTTGGGTACATTGTATTGAGCCCCAGCCGTATTTCCCCTTTGGGTTGGTTGAAACAGCATCTTTCGGTTGCCAATTTGAGCCACAGCTCTAAATCAGCAGATCGCAGCATAGCTCCAAGAAATGACTCGCACGAAAAGCAGCGGCCGAGGATCCTTACGAACTCTGCGGTGATCGCCATGCAGGTCGAGGATCTGGCGCGAAACCCAGGCGCGGTCCGTCGGTGCCGAACGTCGGAGGAGTGCCTTTGTTGTGTTGGATGGATGTGTTTTTGTTTGTTTGTTTGTTTGTTTGTTTGTTGGATGGATGGTTTCAAAGAAAAACACAAGGCAAACCATGAGATTGCTGCCCTTGGTTCCATTGGCCAATTTCATTTGAACTGTTTTGATCGTCATCTTCTACCTGGAGCTTTCGGCTTGGTTGGTTTTAGAAGTATGTCGGCGCCTTTGCACTCCCGCAGATCCATATGAACCTCTTTCGGTGAGAGAACCCCTGGTTGCATTCCACGGGCGCTGTTAACTTGCACCTTGCAACACAATCATTGTGTTGTTCGCATGCGACTTCGGAATCTCATGTGTAAGTACTGTGTAAAAACCCATTGTTGTGAAAACCCATTGTTTGGAACCTCATTGTTGGAACCCAACAAAAACACCATGCATCCTAGAGGAAGCCATGGCGTTAGAAAACCAGCCTCAGACATATTCAACGGGGGCGGGGGGGGGGGGGGTTCTGAGCCTCTTGGGTGCACCCATGGTTTGTTCTTTGACAGAAAGGGGCCTAGCCAAAAAAGGGTAAGAACTAACATGGGTGTCCTCCGACCCAGGCTTCCAAACCCAGAAGGACAACCGAGCCTTAAAGGAGACTCGCGTGACTTCCAACTGCCAAAAAGCCGATTTTGGGGTTTTATCCTTGGACCCGAGGGAAACCACTTGGGTCCAAGCCGGAGGAATTGACAATGGATCGCCAGTTGCCTCTTTTTCCGGCAGCAACAGGTAGCCCTTCATTGGCGGTTTGGATTGGTAAACCACCAATTGGGAAGCTGATGATTGTGTGCTAAAGTGTATCAAGAAAACCATGGGCCAATGCAGACAGTATCGGGGGTTGAGTTGTATGATGTTTGCCCCACGCAAGTATATATATTGAACTGTGACCCCATTGGAGCGTGTTCAAGCTAGTTTAGCAAGTTATAACCATGGTACCCTCCGACCGACTAACATGGAAGTGCACAAAGCCCCTTTCCAAGAGGAAAGTAACGTAGTCTTTCTACAGGTGTCCCTGCGCTTCAACGCGGTGGGAGTGCAGGGAGACCAACCTGAGTTATCCCATCCAAGTGGTTGCCATAGGTTCTCTCAACTAATGATAAGGATATCTACTAACTGAGGGTTACCATACCCAGCCTGTCATAAACTGATAGTAGAACTGATCCGACGTCTTTCATGGCTTTTCAGCGCTCGTTGCGGAGGCGCTGCGCCTTCCGATGCCTCCTTCCTGATCACCTCCGTGTACACCTTTCTGTGGCTTGAAGTCAAATCCAAATTGTAGGGCTTGATTCCTTTTCCATTCTTTGCAACCATCGCTCTTTTCAAAAACCAGCCGTTTTCCCTGGGGTTCCGGAGGTTTTCTAGAAAGAAGGATCCCTGGAAAGAATTGGACATGGAAGGTACAGCTAGAACACTGGCGAAATGTTAATTTTAATAGGGAGCCGCCTCAAAAGGTGCTGATGGACATGAGTCCCCATCTAAATGATGTTCACCGGAGCGTGCCTGAGTTTAATTATCACCCACATGGATCCGTAGATCTGTGGCTTGTACCGAATTGTCTGATGGAAACTGCACTAGCGGGTCCCAAACCACGACCGGGATCCCAGACCTGAGGGTGCTTTGTTTTCCCATTTGGGTTCTTCAGGCGCCTTAGAAGTAGGTAAAAAGCACGGTGATGCGGGGCCAATCCCAGAAACCCCAGTTATAGCCATGGTTATGACCTACCTACTGAGTTGGGTGAACACCCAAGTATTTAAATCCATGCTGTGCCCCCAACTTTCGTTTTGAGAGCCGGTTCTTCAACATGTTCATTTTTCGGGGCCCAGCCACCTGACCTGTTTGGTGGTTTGCACCACCCCCACACCACTATCGGAAGAAAGGAAACTAAGAATTAACATGGGACCCAGTGGTTTGGGAGTTGTCCACTGCCCCCATGCCGAGCAAATGGAACCTGTGATGTACCGGTTTTCAGATAGTGGAAACCAGGAAGTCTGGGTTTCCAGTTTGAAGGTTGCCACTTTCTGTGAGTGGCCATCCAATTCAAAGGGACAAAGTCGCCAGGCGTGGAGACACTAAATCCATTTCGCAGTCCATAAGGGGCTATCCCAGTATTCATACGGGTTTCATCTACAGTGTCATCCAAGCCAACTAATTGCAACACTTGCACTGGTTGCAAGTGTGCTTCGGCCCGACGTGGTGCACCTTTTCTTCTTGGATGTTCAACCAACTTCGCAGGTTGTCATGGATGCCAGCAGTGCCCTTTAAACTCACCACTGGAACCTTCGCAGACCCTTCACCGCTGGGTTCACTAACCTCATGGATGGAACAAGTTTCTGGAGTAAGCGAGGTTCGTCCGCTTGCCATGGTGATCACCTACCTAAGTAGCTTGAAGACCCATGTTCCGGGCCCTTGGAGCGAGCGGATATCCGCTCGCAGGGTTTTGCGACAAAGGGTCCTCCCAAGACAAAGGCCAGAACGGGTATGGATCAAAATACAAATCTGGATACAAATCTGGACCCCACATTTTTTTCTGGTCCACCTGAGAAGGGTTTTCCGGCGCTTCTTTTTTACCAAAGGAGCAGGGTTCTCACAGGTGGCTGCCCCCAGTACTCAGTATTCCACAGACGTCTCTGCGCCTCCCGAGTGGTGTCTCATGGTGAAATCCGGCGGAATTTTCGCGGAAAGAGTTTGTGGTTTTGGCCTTAAAGGCTCCAAACAAGGGGTTGACATCGGCCATTCGGCCTGAGTTGCTCTTAGGATAATCCTCCCTCCCCCATTTTGGTTGATGTATCCTTTGCCTGCCCACGCAAGAAAGATGGAGCTGTACCATTCACTGTCGGGGATACATCCTCCTTGACCTTACAGTTGGGTGTTTAGTCGAATCATCCCCTGGACTTTCCCACGCAAGGCTAACTGTTCCATCTTTCACTTCTGTGTATTAGCCAATTTTCCAGCCCTGGTGCATTTCCTTTGTTCTTGTTTTTTTGGAGGGCAAGCTTCTTTTGTTTGTTTCTGTTTGGTGTTTCCCTGACCCTTCAAAAAAGGAGGCCATGACTCCTTGCTTTTGCCCAACAACGCCATTTTTTGCGGGGTCACGGCGACTCCGGGTGGAAATTCCCTCAGGTCTAGGGGACCTTTTCCGCGGCTTGCGACGATGCGAGGTTTACCATGGAGCTGCTGCTGCGCATCTTGGCCGGCGGCTTCGCCATCTTTTGCGGCGCAGAACTTCGGCCTTATGGCCCTGCTGGCGAGACCTTTTGGGCGCTTTTGGAGGCGTTTTTTTTTTTTTTTTTAAACGAAAAATGATTAAGAATAAAACACAACTACCCCAAAAGAAAGAGGGCCCTTTCCCATGGAAATCCACAAGGCCTGGGTTGCTAAGTTGCCATGGAGGGGAGGGGGTTCTGTCTTGGAATACTGTTTGAAGGGTTTCCGTCTTAGGGTATTGCAATTAAGTGTGTTGAAGGGAATTATTTGGCATTCCGCGTTTGGAGGTTTGTGCTTTTGAGGGAAGAGAACCTGACCCACAATCAATGCCCGGGAAGGGAAATCCCAGCCGGAACCAAGTGTCGAGACCCGCCCTTTCACTCTTTAGATGTTTTTTGAGTAGACCTTTGAGTAGACCGCTTTAGCACCCAGGGTTTGATTGTGACTGATCGGGGTTGTAATCCAGTTGCTAGGAGGGTTTCGATCTGGGGCCATTATGTTGCAATTGAGGGTGGACTCTTGTCCAATGTGTGTTTGCTTGTTGCAAAGAGGGTGGAGCCAATTTCCGACAGGATCGAATGGGGCCATTAGGTGGCCAAGCACCTGTTGCCAGGTCAAAGGCTGACCTGGTCAACTTTTTGCCTCGGGTTTCCGTGATGTTTTCACGAAGTCTAGTCACTTTTTGGATCGCCTCCCGGCTTTGGGTGGCAAGAAAGCCGCACAAGGGTCACATTGACAAGAAGCATGCAGATACCCAGGTGGCTTTCCCCCGGATTTTCATCAAGTGACCGAAAGACTTCACAACATGCCTACCAGTACGTATATGCGTATATAGGTCTTTCCTAGAACAGGGTAAATTGCAAGGAGCTCATTTGGGGGGTGGTTAAACGCGCGATCCACCCCTGATTGCCTTTCGGGGGTTTCCTTACCAGCTTGGGAATCGTAATTGTCCCACTCCAAGTATGTCCAAAGGTTGTTCTACGTTTGTTTGCTTTGAGTTGTGTGATTTATCATCGTTTCTCCTCCATGGCTTCGCAATCGCTCGAGTCAATGCTCCATCTGAAACCTGGGGTCGGGGCAAGGCAACGAGCGCAACCGAGGAATGGAGTTGGCACGTCCTGGATTTTCTGGTGGTGCCCCAGCCCGCAATGGGCTTTTGGGTCAAAAAACACGAATGAAGGCTGGGCACAGGCAAACCACGGGATCCTTTCCTCGGGCTACGTGAGGCCCCTTTGTCACTAGTGGTTTTCCTCTGATTACAAATCAGGATTGGTCAACCCTCGAGTGTGCACGGAGGAAAGACATGGGGCCTGAAAGGCGTTTTTCCCCGAGGTGTCAATGACCTCTAATCAAGCAGTTCGGGTGGAGTTCTTTGGCGGATATCTTTGCTGCGAAAACACGAGAAGCGCCCACCATTAGTGGGTTTCCCTTAATTCAAAACACATTGGACATAGAGACGCATTTGCTTTTGAGGTTCTTCGATTTCAGGGAGAAGCAGCCTCTTTGTTTAAAGCATCATTGAGTCGTAGGCCTCTGAAGATGGACCACCCTTCATGTTGAAAGGCGGCAAGAGATGGCCCTTGGCCCCTGGAATTGGCCCTTTGCCCCTTACCTGGGGCCCAAAAGGAAGAGTCTTGGCTTCAGAATCAAAGTTTGGGGCGAACTTGGACACATGATTTTATGTTCATGCCTCATGTTGGCTGTAACCCACCCCCTTTCGATCCTTGGGATGCGCCGCGGGGATCGGATGTGGGGGAAGGCCGGAATGAGAGTGGGGTGGGAGATTTCACAAAAACAACCCCAGGTGGAATCCAGGCGGATCAAAGGCGGATTTACCCCCGTAAATTGCGGATCAACCAAACTTTTAGTATGATTTTGCCCCTTGAGTTGCGAATCCAGGCGGATTTGCCAAGACTCACTAAACTGGCACATGAACTGGCAACCTCGGATTTGCTTGGCGTCCTCACCTATGATGCGCATGTTGCCAGGAGATTACGCCGCTGGAAGATGAAACGTGAGGGGGGCGGGGGGTCGAAAGCATGCCCTGAACAGCATTCCCCTGAACGGTATTCTCCTGAACCTGCAAAATCGTCAGCAAGCTACCACAAATGGATGTCGTCTTTGGGTGTTTGCTTGCTTGCCTGCCTGCCTGCCTGCGTGCGTGCTTGCTTGCTTGCTTGCTTTCTTGCTTGCTTTCTTGCTTGCTTGTCTGTTTGTTTGTTTGTTTGCCTGTCTGTCTGTCTGTGCGTCCCTTCGTCCCTCCGTTTGTTTGTTTGCTTGCTTGCTTGCTTGCTTGCTTGCTCGCTCGGTTGGTGGCGTGTTCGCTGGCTCGTTTGTTTCTCCAGTTGCTTACATGGCCTAGGCTGTGCGAAGGCAATCCTGAATCCTTTCTTGAGGTATTGAAAGGAATCCCTTCATAAGCAATTCCCATCAGCGATGGAACATCGAGCTGGACCATGTCTCAGCAATGGTGGCAATGGACAAACAAACGTATCCCTTTGCCACGTGTCAGGGCCTGGTGGCCTGATGGGAGCAACATCAGGATGACACAACCTGCTCGACAAGTGAGTAGCCATTCAGGGTTCACTCCTTGGTGGACTTGTAAGTGGTTCGTAAACTGGGCAATTCATGTTATCTTTGAATTCATCCGCAGGACCGCACCAATCAGGGATGGATCCCGCCTTAGGGGGCTCCTCTAATTAGGCTCCTCCGGATCAGATGAATCAATCCGATGCGCGCGCAATGGGAACTCGGGCGATGTGAGTCTTTGGTTGATCAACAGAGATCCCATTTAAGAGGGGATCCAGATTACTGCGAGAAAAATCCTCTTGTTCATCCATTGTGCTTGTAAATCTGGGGTGCACCTCAGTTACATGAGGCGTTCAGTCCATCAACAATTGTTGATAGGTGTTCCAGCCAACCTGATCTTCCAAGACCCTTAATACACAGTCCTCCATTGCCACCAACAGCAACATCAGGAAGGGATTCAGACACGCGCAGTTGATGACTTCACATGCAGGTCATGCATGAGCTTGCCAATCATTAAGATGGTCACAAGGGTTTATACTGACATAGCTCATACTTCAAACCCTCAACAAAAAGCAGGTACCTACTACAAACATCCTTGCGTGGGGGCTGCAAAGGGCTGTGAATCTTGATTACTGGCTTAAATGCCTTTCCAAGGACCCTCAAAAACCAAGTCGGACGGGGCATGGGCACGCCTCAGGTTTCCTCGAGCATTTTCGAGTTTGCGCTGGAGGTGGCCCTCCAAGAGGCTGGCAGTCCTCATGTGGCTGTGTCAAAAGGCATGTGGCTGTGGTTGTCAACATAGGTATCTAAAATGGGTTACCTTGGCAAATAAATGGGTTACCAAGGACTACCAGCGGTCCAATTCCTGGTGGTTTAATTTTGACCCAACAATGGGCTCCACAGAGAGAACTGTATAGTGCCCTTCGGAGGTCCATGCAATCTCTAGGGGCACTTCCCATTGGTTTCATGGTTCCTTAGACTCTTAGACCCATGGTCAGTCCGAATTGGCAGGCTTGCGGATGGCACATGTCTGAGCCATCCGCACTGTGTGCTAGGTTGAAAGTGGAAATATTCCTAGTGGTTGGATTGAACGTTGGGTTTCAGCAACATCCTGAGATTTCATGGGTCGTTTTGTGTTCATGTTCAAAGCCAGCCCACCATGGCTCCCTAAGTGTTTAGTTCAAACCAGCTCCCTTCCAAAGGAAAAAACCTGGGGAACCCCCCAACCCCCACCCGCCTGGAAGGGTTTGGAAGGAGTCTTCTTAGTGCATTGAAGGGTTCTGAGAAGCTATTAATACGGCTATGATTTGTAACGGTGAACCATCTCAAAGTGGTTGGTGGACCTGAATAAACCAAATTTATGTTCGCATTTGTTTGTGTTAAAAGAACCAAACACATACCCACAGTTCTCCCGAAGGCGTATGTGCGACCCGACTGGCCTGACAGACGTGTTTCTTGGAGATCACACAGCACGTGGGGATCTCGGAAAAATGTAGCGACCTTTCTCAGAGTTCCCAAACACTTCAAGTTGTTGAACTCTCATACTTGTCTACTGTTCGCTTTGGTTCGCTTCGGTTCCTGTCGCCAGTTCGCGGTTCGGTTCGGTTCCGTTTCATTAAATGGCTGTGCAGAAGGGGAGCTGCAACCCTGCAAAAGATGGCCATTTGGCGGCTAAACTCGCAAATGGACATTTGATGCCCTTTTGGCCCCGAAACGGCTCAAAAGGGCATCAAACTGAGCTTTCAATGCTGAAGTTGAGGGTATTTGTACGCCGGCCGTACGCGTTGGCTGCCGACATTTGCACATTGAATGCCATTGGCTGTTTTTGCTCGGGCGTAGCATTTTCCTGCCCGGGCCATTCTTTGCAGGCGTTGCTGGCTGTAGTCACCATTTCGGGCCGACGGTTCCGACGGTTCCGACGGCTCCGACGGTTCCTACGGTTCCTACGGTTCCTACGGTTCCTACGGTTCCTACGGTTCCTACGGTTCCTACGGTTCCTACGGTTCCTACGGTTCCTACGGTTCCTAATTTCCAAGCGGAAAAAAACAAACTCAGTCTGGCCGTCAGCTGCGCAATTGAGCTCAACCCTTCTTTTTGAGGGCACGTGAGAACCGACTTCCGGCCTCAAGCGCCAGGACACCAAGGCGGCCGTGAACTTTGGGTTTCTCCTTTACTTTTGGTTTCCGGGAAGAATCTGTGGAAAAGACAAATGCAATCATTCACCCAGACCCGGTCTCCTCCGATTTTTGTCAAAGATATTGTTAAAATCACTAAATATGAACCAGAAACCGAACAAATACGATGTTGGAGGAATCTTCTTCTGGTGACCCCCTTTGTGGGCTCCATTTTAACTTGGAGGGGAGTATTTGTGGCACGCATTTCTGGCACAAATTCTCCCCTGCAAACCCAAAAAGGGTTATTTTTCCCAGGCGGAGATCCCACAAATGGCTGCGTGCTTGTGTGCGCGTGTGTGGCGGTTGGTTTGATTTGTGTATCCTTCAAAGCATTTGGTTACATTCCATGGGAAAACGCCAGGCCGGAGACGGGAACGGGAATGTCTTCACCAACATGCGCCTCCTCCGAATCCTACGCATCGGTCGCATCACTCGCGCAATACGAATAGTGAGGCCGGGGGGTTGGGGTGGGGGGTTGAGGTGCGGTGGGTTGGTTAAGACCCGAACTCGTTGTCATTTCCTATCGCACCGATCACAAGTGTTTTTTGGGGAGGACCTCCAACGCTGTCAAAAAGTCCCGGGCTCTTTTGACCCATGGAGGTGTCCGGATCTCCATACGGGTTCGAAGCTACAAAGCCTGTTTGAGGTCTCAAGATTCTTAGGGAACCCAACCAAGAGTCGAAGTCTGTCTCCAAGCATACATGTATTTTTTCCGGTAGACTGAACATGAAACCGAATTGGAAGGTCTTATTTTTGGAGTACCCCAGATGTGGGTGAAGAAAAGATAAACCATCCTGGTAGGTAGGTTGGTATCTATGGTTGTAAACCACTTCCCGTGGCTTGCAAGTGCCCCAAGTCTTAAGTGGGTTGCAACCAGGGCGAACTCCCAGGCCTAGGAAGTGGTTGGACATGGATCCCCGAATTCTGATGTCCACTAGTTTGGGCCCCCTATACTCAAATTCACAGGTGATAGCTGGAGTTCAACAGTTTTGTCAGGTAAAGACTACGGGTAACTATTAGCCATGATGCATGAAAGATGAAGGGTGCTGTACAGAAAATTCACACCCATCTCTTAGAGCTTCCCAGGATCGGTAATCTCTTGCAGGGGATCTGGGACAAGCCCTCTTCTAGGAAACGGCGTGGATGCGGATTTTGTGGATGCACCCCTGTAGGATATTAAAAGAGTGCCAAAAAAAGGAAGGAACCATCAGGACGAACTTTTTCGTGACATCCACGGGAAAGAAAAAACACGAGTATCCAAGCCGTTTTCTCCAGACTGATCGGAGAGCGCCAGGTTGGTGAAGTTCATCCGCTCCCTGCGGTCGCTGCTCTACTCCATCGGCCACACTTTGAGAGCCATGGCACCAGCCTCGGGGCCTCCGAGAGAGTCGAATCGGGGCGGGGGGTGGGGTGGGTGAAAGGGTGGGTGGAGTGGGGGGTGGGTGGGGGGGGGGGGTGGGGGGGTGAAAGGCTGGGGGGAAGGGTGGATGTAGACCAATATCAGATTTGGATGGCATGATGTATCAGAATGACAGGAACATGAAGGGAATCTCGGAATACCTTTCTTTCACAAAAAGGGACTTGTTCCTTTCCACCAAAATGGTGTTGTGCTTTTCTAGGAGCTTTCTTTGAGCTTGATCATGATGATAGTTCAATCACAACAACAAGAGTCTAGAAACTGGTTTGGATTTGTGTGCGAATCTGTGGTTCGAGCCCTGCTGGAATGTAATACAGTAGTAAGATATTGCCAAAAAGGACCAACAGGGGCAAGCTTAGGTGAAATCCACAAAAAGCGCATGCAAACCGTTCTCTAGAAAAAGGGTTCCCTATGTGTCCTGAAAGGCTGGCCCGCATCTGGGTACGCAGAAAACAGCTTTTTCAGCTCTGATGAGGTCTACCCTTGCAAAAATGGAGGAGATTCCAAGTCTTTGTTTCTGGTAAAGGAACCAATGGCAGCACAAGAGATCTGGTACTTCGGAAAGCAAGGGGCGTTCCTTCCAAAAATGCCGAGCTTGGGAAGCTGTGACAAGCTGCGCCGTGCCTATGGTCAATCTCTGGGTTCATTCCTTACATGGGTGGACGTCAAAATATCCCCTCCTCCCATGTTGAATCCTGGTTCCGCCTTGCGGTGCCATTTTAAAGGGATACCAAAAAGCGCGTTGAACGCCGTGCGCATGTCGCCCATTGAACCCCAGGATCTCTCTCTCTCTCTCTCTCTCTGTCTCTCTCTCTCTCTCTCTCTCTGTCTCTCTCTCTCTCTCTCTCTCTCTCTGTCTCTCTCTCTCTCTCTCTCTCTCTCTGTCTCTCTCTCTCTCTCTCTGTCTCTCTCTCTCTCTCTCTCTGTCTCTCTCTCCCTCTATATATATATATATGCATTTGTTATATGTATTGATCACTATTCCTGTTGATGCATGAGCAGGTTGCCTCAGGCTGAGAGTTGTTTTCAACAAGTCACCCAACAGGGGGCTGCAGCGAATGATCCAACATGTATATGCGCGACGGTGGGGATCCCACAAGGTTGGCCGTCGATTCCCTTTCAGAAACCCGGGGACCACCCACATTTCAGCCGCTTCCAGCGAGGTGTCACAAGCAGGAAACCCTTGATCCATATCTGAGACAGGACAAGCACAGTCTTGAGCGACCGCAGTGACAAAACGGCAAGACCCTGTTTCCTGAAATAGACCAGCTGCTGCGAATTGCAACTGACCAGAAAGTATAAGCCCAGAAGTGATTCGGAGGTAAAGTCGCAGTGAAGATCAAGTCTCCCCTAAAAGCCCCGGTGCGGAGCCCATCAGGCACACTTGTGCCAAAATCGACAAAGCGAAGCAAGTGACCCAAATTGATTTACCTTTCGTCCCCTTAAAATGAACTACTGGAAAGCCACAAAGACCCTGTTAGACACGTGTGTCCCTAGATTTCCCCTTGAGGCAAGCCCACCAAAAGGAATCTCAACTCGCCGAAAGGAATCGATGTCTGCATATCTAAAGGGGCAGAGGGTTGGAAGGGATGGGCGCCTCAACCCATGGGATCCCAGAGGACCAAATCGATCGGGTCGAGTGTCTGGAAGGGCTCTTTGGAAACATCCGATGGGTGTTTTGGCAATGGCACATTTGGGAGTGAGAATCAATGGGAGTCGACCCCTCACAAAAGCAGTTTCCCATTTTGAAACAGACCCATGTGCAGAGCCGGAACAATGAGATGACGCTTGGGGCAGTCCCACGTATGAATAATTAGGTGCCGCAAAACAGTTGCACTTTGTATTCTTGGTATTAGTTCGGGTACACTTTGGAATGTTGTTTTTTGCTTGCACCGGCTTCTCGCCTAGCACCGGCTCAGGTGGCTGGCTGGCTGGCTGGCTGGCTGGCTGGCTGGCTGGGTGGCTGGCTGGCTGGCTGGCTGGCTGGGCTGGCTGGCTGGCTGGCTGGCTGGTTTGGTTGGTTGGTTGGTCGGTCGGTCGGTCGGTCGGTCTGTCTGGTCGGCGGTTGGTTGGCTGGCTGCCTGCTTGTTTTTGTCGCGACACAGTTGCATGCCAGCATACATTCATTTCATTCATTCATGTATGCAGTCACTCGTTCATTCATTCATTCATTCCTTCCTTCATTCATTCATTAATTCATTCAATCATTCATTCATTCATTCATTCATTCATTCATTCAGTCAGTCAGTCAGTCAGTCATTCATTAATTCGTTCATTCATTCATTCATTCATTCATTCATTCATTCATTCATTCATTCATTCATTCATTCATTCATTCATTCATTCATTCATTCATTCATTCATTCATTCATTCATTCATTCATTCATTCATTCATTTCATTCATTCATTGTCATTCATTCATTCATTCATTCATTCATTCATTCATTCATTCATTCATTCATTCATTCATTCAATCATTCATTCATTCATTCATTCATTCATTCATTCATTCATTCATTCATCATTCATTCATTCATTCATTCATTCATTCATTCATTCATTCATTCATTCATTCATTCATTCATTCATTCATTCATTCATTCATTCATTCATTCATTCATTCATTCATTCATGCATCATTCCATTCTATTCCATTCCATTCCATTCCATTCCATTCCATTCCATTCCATTCCATTCCATTCCATTCCTTCCTTCCTTCCTTCCTTCCTTCGTTCGTTCGTTCACTAATTCATTCATTCATTCATTCATTCATTCATTCATTCATTCATTCATTCATTCATCCATCCATCCATCCATCCATTTCATTCGTTCGTTCGTTTGTTTGTTCATTCATTCATTCATTCATTCATGCATTCATTCATTCATTCATTCATTCATCCATCCATCCATCCATCCATTTCATTTATTTATTCATTCATTCATTCATTCATTCATTGATTCATTGATTGATTCATTCATTCATTCATTCATTCATTCATTCATTCATTCATTCATTCATTCATTCATTCATTCATTGATTCATTCATTCATTCATTCATTCATTCATTCATTCATTCATTCATTCATTCATTCATCATTCATTCATTCATTCATTCATTCATTCCTTCCTTCCTTCATTCATTCATTCATTCATTCATTCATTCATTCATTCATTCATTCATTCATGCATCATTCCATTCCATTCCATTCCATTCCATTCCATTCCATTCCATTCCATTCCATTCCATTCCATTCCATTCCATTCCTTCCTTCCTTCCTTCGTTCGTTCGTTCGTTCGTTCACTAATTCATTCATTCATTCATTCATCCATCCATTTCATTCGTTCGTTCGTTCACTAATTCATTCATTCATTCATTCATTCATTCATTCATTCATTCATTCATTCATTCATTCATTCATTCATTCATTCATTCATTCATTCATTCATTCATTCATTCATCCATTTCATCTATTTATTCATTCATTCATTCATTCATTCATTCATTCATTCATTCATTCATTCATTCATTCATTCATTCATTCATTCATTCATTCATTTATTCATTCATGCATCATTCCATTCCATTCCATTCCATTCCATTCCTTCCTTCCTTCCTTCGTTCGTTCGTTCGTTCATTCATTCATTCATTCATTCTTTCATTCATGCATCATTCCATTCCATTCCATTCCATTCCATTCCATTGCATTCCATTCCATTCCATTCCATTCCTTTCCTTTCCTTCATTCATTCATTGATTCATTCATTCATTCATTCATTCATTCATTCATTCATTCATGCGTCATTCCATTCCATTCCATTCCATTCCATTCCATTCCATTCCATTCCATTCATTCCTTCCTTCCTTGCTTCCTTACGTTCGTTTGTTCGTTCATTCATTTATTCATTCATCCATCCGTTTCATTTATTCATTCATTCATTCATTCATTCATTCATTCATTCATTCATTCAGTCAGTCAGTCAGTCAGTCAGTCAGTCAGTCAGTCAGTCAGTCAGTCAGTCAGTCAGTCAGTCAGTCAGTCAGTTGTTCACTCATCTTCTTAGAGCACCTGGTTTGTAATCGCGCACTTTTGTCATTAGTGTCCTGAGTTGTTTTTGAATGGGGGGGGCTGCGTTCCGACTCCCTCGCGTTTCCCCCCCCCCCCCGTCCCAGCTTCTTTGTTTGGCTTTGTGATCCTTGTCTGTAATTTCGCACTTTTTCAATTGGTGTCTGGATTTGTTTCGCAAATCGGGGGGCTGCGCCCCCCCAACCCCCCGGCTTCTTTCTAGGACCGTTTTTCGGCTTGGTGATCCTGGTTTGTAATCCCGCACTTGCTCCATTAGTGTCTTTATTTGTTTTCTAGTGGCCCTCCTTCTTCATAGGGCCGAAACCAACTCTAAACCCAGCCTACACTAAGCCTACACCACCATAAACCAGCACCAGTACCTAAAGCGCAGCCCCCCCAACGTGCTTGATCCCGCAAAATCTTGGTGTGGTTTCCTTTTTGAGGTCCCTTTGCGTTTCAATGAAGGTCGCTTCAGCGACCTCCAAGAAGGGCGCGGTCTTCGGTCCCACTCCCCGTGATTCGATGCCTGAGGTGTGGTCGGTGGTGCTGCTGGCGCTCATCATCTTCTTGCCCCGCGAACAGAAGAAGATTCGGGTGGTTGGGCTCCCTCAATTCTCCTGTTGTTGGGCCTCCAAAAGTGGCCGGTTCATTGGAACTTCTGCAATGAGCCCTGTGGTGTGGGTTCTCAGAAATACTTTTGGGGGTTCCCCTTTGGACCATTAGTTATTCGAGGATGTCACTTTCATGGACCCTACACTTCCCAGTGGTGGTTCAGGGCTCACACTTCCCCTTTTAACTACCTCTCTCTTTTTTATGGGTTGCGAGCTTACCGATTCAGAGCTCTTTGCTTGGGGGAATAATTCTTACTTCAGATGGAGTACACATCACGGTTGTCCCAAGGCTTTCCCCTGTAGCCAGGCGGAAAGCACTCAAAGGGGACATGGGGATGGTCAGACTTCCATCACTACGAAAAGATAAAATAAAAGGGCCAAACAATTACGCACATTTGGCTCCATATGCTGATTGAAGGCAGCCATTGCAACTTAAAGTATCAGGGACCATTAAGCACCATTGCGGCTCTGAATCAATACTGGACCCTTGCAGGACAACATGAACTGTGCTAGTCTTCGACATGATTGTTCAAAGTTCCGCTTGGCTTCTACATGCTTTCGGGGGGTGTTTCACACTTTTAGAGGGCTCCCTGAGTGTTTTGGAGGAAGCTCAACGGGTAAAGCCCGATGTCCATCTTAAATCTGGAATTCCACTTGTTTCGTTTGAAGCCGGGGACCTTTCCGCTCAGTTCCCGGCCACACCCTTAGACTTTTAGACTTTTAGAGATTGGAGAGATATATGCACATATATATATATATATAAGAATATCATCCACCAAAGTTAGAAGCTTTTAGCAAGGGACCGACGAACCACCAAACTAGGTAGAGGGATCCATTTGTCCTTCCAGGTTCGGCTTGATTTTCACCGACATCACGTCTGAGTACCTGGCGCGAGATGCCCATGAGCGTACGGAGGTTACGGAAGGCTGGCCAGAGGCATTTCGTTTTTGGGGGGTTCCCCAACAAAGGCACACCCGGCCAGAAGGTCAAATCGGCGGGGTTCGGGTTTCAGATCTAAGGCCAATTTTCTCGGATGCTGAGATGATCCAACCAAGAAACAAGCATCACGCGACAGTTGTACCGTTTGCATTCCCTGTTAAGGGCCTGGAATTTGGGGCAGCTGCTTTGCTCCGGTGAACAAACAACCTTATTGGTAAAACGGTTTCCTTTGGCCCTTTTCAGGAATCAATCTTCAAATCTTCAGGGATTTCGAAGCACTGAAGGAAAGCCAAAGGGAACTCACGGGCTCTGTGCACATCACTGCTTGGTTGCCAATTTCAACTAAGCTTCCCCATTGCTTTGAACTGCAATATAGGACAATGAGAAGGAATTCCGAGAAAGGGCACCCCCTTTTGGAGGGTGTTCAAAGGGAAGCCAGCAGGAAACTTACATAAGGGCCTAAATAATCACTAATACTTCAACACCTGAGGGCCTATTTCTTTTTATATTCCTGCTCCGGGGCCGGAAACAGGGCTTTCTCGAGGGGTTTGTTGGATTCACGCCTGGGGCGAATGATTCAACCCCGGGGCCGCGAGGAAGCCTTGTTTCGGGCCCCAGGAATCCAAAAAGAACACCAGGCCCCTCAAGAATGCCTTGTTTCCAGATGGGGCAAGAATTCAATCAAAACCACTGGGTCCCGATGTAATTTCAACATGTTAGTGATCAAAAGACCGCGTGGCGTGCTGGTGGCGGTTCCGGTGTTTTGGGTCGGGTGTTTTGGGTGTTTCTTTTCAACAGGGTTCTCTATTGAGGAAACCATCAAAATCCCAGGACCAACTGGTTTTCGAAAAGAAGAATGGTTGAACAGAATGGGGAATCAACCCCTAGGGCGCCCTTGACCCCAAGTGCCACCCGAAATCCCTTTATGCAAGCCCCAAGGGTCCTTCGACCCAGCCATTGATGACGTGTCGCCGAGACGCCCAAGTTTCTTTTCCAACTCCGGGGTCCTCCAAAACGATTTTTGTTACTTTGTATGGGGTCTATGTAACAGACTCTGAACACATGTGCCATGGTCCAAAGACCCGGGGTTAACCTCCTGGTAGTAAGGATCCTAAACAAGCGTTTACTGTGTCCTATTGGGGGAACCATGACCATAGGCCAAAAATGGAGTTGTGACCATGGCGAATATAATTTTGGGACGCCAGATTCGGGTTCCTGCAACAGTTGACACAGCTTGGCAATCGTTTCCACCATTCGGCAACAAACACGCCCTGGTTCCAGCCATGTTTCAAAGGGACATTCAATGACTTGACTAGAGCATATGGTGTGTGTGTGTGTGTTGTGCCATTATTTTGGAAGACTGTTTACAGTTCTTGCCAGCTAATTGGGCACTAATCGTACTTTTTATTTTGGTCGGCAGGGAGTCTTCTACTAAAGATGCTCTGTGCGCTCTGTGCGGACCCTGTGACGCCCCCATACTCTTGGACGTGAAGTTGTTTCGGGGGCTAGAGGGATTTATGACACAACCTCACCCTTGGACCTTCAGTTGCTTGGGAGGTTAGGGGGAGCTGTGGCGAATTGCACTGAAAGTATAACTTTTCTCGGGAATCCACGGGCCGCCAAGTTTTGTGTGGTTTGGATCGGTGCGATTCCGGAATTGGACCTGGCTTCATTTCTGCATCTTCTGAAGTTTCAATCGATCGCTGGCAAGCTACCACCTGACCTTGAAGCCACTTTGAATCTTTGATGCTCTTTGGAAGACCTCTTCTTGTGAGACGACAACAGTACGTGGCCTGCACCTTTGGTCCGTTGACGGCCTTTGAACCTGATCCCTTCCGCGTGTCTCTCTGGGAGGAACCAGTCGCTCTCTCCGGCGCAAGCCCGTGAGGTTTCCTGAAGAGCCGTTTCGGTGGCCTTCAAGCCTCGATGCACACGCTCTATGCTTCGATCACAGGAGGCCGATGGGGTGGCTCTTCTTTGCTCGTATGTGTTGTTTGTTGTTTGTTTGTTTGCTGATTGTCTTGCTTGCTTGCTTTCTCTTCTATTTCTTTCTTTCGTTTGTTCGTTTATTTTGCTCTCTTTCTTTCTTTCTTTCTTTCTTTCTTTCTTTCTTTCTTTCTTTCTTTCTTTCTTTCTTTTCTCTTTCTTTTTGCTTCTGTTTCTGTTTTTGTTTGTTTTTGTTGTTGTGTTTGTTTGTTTGGAGCAAGTTACTGGGGTGTTCAGCGCAGTTAGTAGGTGCCAAGCCACCAAATAGGTGGGTTCTAGCCTAGGTTACTAGCCACCAAACAACCTGGCCGAACATCACCCCAAAAACGGAGAGGGTCACAACCATAGTTTTCATGGGGGTTATGTGGGTCTTTTGGTGTTTTTTGTTTATGTTTTTGTTTTTCTTAATAATCTGTTTCTGTGGGGTTGATATTGATATTTTACTTTTTTGAACGTGGGGTTTTTATGTGGGGATATGACCCGAAGTTGGTTGACCTCGGGGGGCTGGCGCCCATCGGAGGCTTGGATCTCGCCAGGCCTCACTTGGATCGAGGCCCGGGATGCCCTCGCGGAGATCTCCGACATTTGGGGCACCTCGGAGCTCGTTTGGACCATTGATGTGGGGGGCATGGCCACAAGATCCAAAGCGAGTTGCCACATGGTTGTGGTTGTCAAAACCGTTTTGGGATCCCATTTTGGTTGGTAGGAGGTGCACCACCCATTTTAGTCTATAGTAGGGATTGGGATGTTCACTGGGGGTACGATTTGGATTTTGACCCATGGCCATCTCAGCTGGTCGTTTGGAGCTCGTGTATTGTTTTGAGGCCACACGGTGATTTTTGGATGGTTTCAAGGGGACGCCAAAGGGCAAACCACCCGCTTCGGGGCTTCCTCATTTTGGTGTGCCCTTCTTTGCATCTTCTAGTGATCCAAACTGTGCCTGTGCCGGGCTTACCTACCAGTTCCTAAAGCTGCTTTATTTTTCTGTTTTTTTTTCCCGAAAGCATGGCGAAGGGTTCTTCCGCTGGGTTCACTTGAGTTGTTCTCATGAGAGTCATTACAAGGTGTCATTGCAAGGAATCATCATCATGAAAGTCATTGCAAGGAGTCATTGCAAGGAGTCATTGCAAGTCATTGCAAGGAGTCATTGCAAGGAGTCATTGCAAGGAGTCATTGCAAGGAGTCATTGCAAGGAGTCATTGCAAGGAGTCATTGCAAGGAGTCATTGCAAGGAGTCATTGCAAGGAGTCATTGCAAGGAGTCATTGCAAGGAGTCATTGCAAGGAGTCATTGCAAGGAGTCATTGCAAGGAGTCATTGCAAGGAGTCATTGCAAGGAGTCATTGCAAGGAGTCATTAGGAGCAAGGAGTCATTTGCAAGGAGTCATTTGATCAACTTGCACTTGACTCCTTGCATTGCAACTTGCACTTGACTTTGGCACTTGCACTTGCACTTGACTCCATGCACTTGCAACTTGCACTTGACTCCATGCACTTGGCTCCTTGCACTTGGCTCCTTGCACTTGGCTCCTTGCACTTGCAACTTGCACTTAACTCCGTGCACTTGCGACTTGCACTTGACTCCATGCACTTGGCTCCTTGCAACTTGCAATGGCTCTCATGACTCCTTGCAATGACTCCTTGCAATGACTCCTTGCAATGACTCCTTGCAATGACTCCTTGCACCATGACTCCTTGCAATGACTCCTTGCAATGACTCCTTGCAATGACTCCTTGCAATGACTCCTTGCAATGACTCCTTGAAACAAGCAAGGAGTCAAGTGCAAGTTGCAAGTGCAAGGAGTCAAGTGCAATTGACTTGCGAGGAGTTAAAATCTCTTCTTAGGGCGGCGGGGTAGTGCCGACGACACTACACGAAAATCGACCCTCTGCGGGGATCGGCGTGGTCGAGGTGCAAAAACCCATGGTTTTTTGCGATTTCTAACCTGCTCGCGCGACCCTCTGCGGGGATCGGCGTGGTCGAGGTGCAAAAACCCATGGTTTTTTGCGATTTCTAACCTGCTCGCGCGACCCTCTGCGGGGATCGGCGTGGTCGAGGTGCAAAAACCCATGGTTTTTTGCGATTTCTAACCTGCTCGCGCGACCCTCTGCGGGGATCGGCGTGGTCGAGGTGCAAAAACCCATGGTTTTTTTGCGATTTCTAACCTGCTCGCGCGACCCTCTGCGGGGATCGGCGTGGTCGAGGTGCAAAACCCATGGTTTTTTGCGATTTCTCACCTGCTCGCGCGACCCTCTGCGGGGATCTCTGCTCGGCGAGAACTCGAGCGAATCGCGGGTTCGATTCCTCCCTGGTCCGCGGGCAGGCGTCGCAAGATGCAACTTGCATTTTAAAAATTGCGCGACAACTTGCGCAGAGCAAAGTTTGCACAGAGCAACTTGCGCAGACCAACTTGCACCGACCAGTTTGCGGAGAGCGCCTTGCCTAGAGCAACTTGCGCAGAGCAACTTACGCAGAGCACTTGCACAGAGCAACTTGCACAGAGCAGCTTGCACAGAGCAACTTGCAGGGAGCGCAATTTGCACAGAGCAACTTGCAGGGACCAACTTGCCGGAGCAACTTGCGCGGAGCAACTTGCGCAGAGCAACTTGCACAGTGCAACTTGCGTAGAGCAACTTGCGCAGACCAACTTGCACCGACCAGTTTGCGCAGAGCACCTTGCCTGGTGCTGTCTCGCGCTTGCTTCACGAATGCTTCGTGTAGGGAAAAAGAACGCATCCTGCAGCGTTGGGCCGACCTCGCTTGCGATGTTCTGCTTTCGGGCCAACCGTGGTCTAGTTTTAAAGATCGTTTCCCGTTTTCCCAAAGCTTGTTCCTGATACTGCATCATTTTTAGACTGCAAGGTTTGCGCGACGAAGCAGCATATGAGCATATGATGTTGGGCACCCTTGGCCAAGTGGCGACCTCCACATAGGGTCGTGGGTCGTGAGCCAGTGCTCAGAGTCAGTGTTTAGGGAACCCAACAGATGCTCCGAGGAGAGCTGGCTTCCCGTTTAAGCCACTGCAAGAAAAGTTCCTCAGCTAAGACACTCTTTGGCATGGGATGGTGGATGATGTTGGTACGTAAGGAGAAACACATTGAAACCTGCGGAATCCATGCACTTTCAGGATGGAGAAGAGTTGGTTTCAGCGCTGCGCGAGAGATGTCGGGCAATTCGGGTCTCGCGTGTCACAGGCGGCTTCAAGGGCGACGGCCGCTCTCGGTTTTTTGGCTGGTGGCGCGGCCCGCACGTTGCTCCGGTTTCTTCTATTTCAGCTAGTTGGAGAGCTTTCAGAGTGGCAATACGTCCGTTGCATATGAGGGCCGTCCTAAAACCCCAGTCTTCGGTTTTAATTATCGCCGAACAGGGAGAAGTAGAAGCTGCAAAAGCTGTGCGCGCGCAAGAGGCGCGCAAGTGCGGCCCAAGGGATGCGCAAGGTTACAATTTTGAAGGGTTTCATGCGCTGCGCTGATGTTGCCTAGTTTCACGAAAGGAGGTGAGATATTTTTACTGCACTTGTGTGGGTTGCAGGTAGGTCGCAAGCTTGTTGCAAAGGTTCCTGCAAGAGAGTGCGGAGAGTGCGTGCTTCTGCCTTTTACACTTTTGCAAGTTGTCCAGGGCGAAGAGCTGAAACGGACACACATACACACACAAACGCACAAACAAACACGCAAACAAACACACAAACACACACACACAAACACAACACACACACACACAAACACACACAAACACAAAGACACACACACAAACACACACACACACAAACACACACACAAACACAAACAAACAAACAAACAAACAAACAAAGAAACAAAGAAACAAAGAAACAAAAACAAACACACACACACACACAGACACACACAGACACACACAGACACACACACATACACACACACACACACACACACACACACACACACACAAACACACACACACACACACACACACACACACACACACACACACACACA